GAACAGCAGACTTAGATTCAGCAACTTCCGGGCATTGTTTAATGACCGCGGAGCCCCTCAGCAGCTACATAAACCAAGCAGGGACGTCTGGGGGCTGTCATTCATTAAGACCATTGACTTCCAGTCAGGCAACTCAGCATGTCAGCAAAAAAAAAGCCATTATTTTTTATTTAGCTCACATCTACAGGACCCTGCAGCTCAGGCTATCTGCACCTATTTTTCACAAATTTCTAATAATTGCACAGACTGCCATTTGGCAAAACAAGCTGAGCAAGAGATGTTGATTTGATGTTTTTGCGTTGGAGGATGGGTGAACAAGAATTGCTTTGTTATAGATTTTTTTTTTTTTTTTAACTGTGCGGCATTCATTGTTCTACTCTCTGCTTGTGAATTTTGCCTCAGGAGCTTTAACTGAACTGCAGCGTAAACAATATTTTGGGGTTAAGTGTTCAGAAGCAGTCATTTTTACACTGAAAATATTGACATGAAGATAAGTTAATAAAATCCAAAGTAGCTTCATAACCTTGTTCTACAAAACAGGGGAGAATCATTATTGCATTAATCATTAGGACAAACGACAAACAGCAGCTGTCAGTTTGGCTGAGAGCAGTCTGTCTGCCAGCGAAGTAACCCAGCTGTGTTCACATCAGAGCGAGGCCAAACACCGTCTGATCATTAATTTATCATACAGAAAAAAATCATCTTATTGCAAGAGAAATCGACCTTTAGCTGCCAAGGATTTGTGAATTGTCTCAACAGTATTACATACAATGCACAGAAAACAATCTCAGCAGTGTTTGACAGGCACAGTGGTAATATTGGTCTGTAATTCGTCAGGTCTGTCACCTAGCGGATGAGAACGGCAAAAGGTGTTGCAGGTTTAAATACAGGTGGGACATAGTGGGATCAAGACCTAGCCTGTGTCAGAAAGCTGCCTTTGAATTTATTCTGCCAACTTTAGCAGCCCACGTCCCAGTGACATAAAAGTCAAAGACCTACAGTCTCTCAACTACTAAATTAGTAGACAGAAAGTTAGTCATTAAGACAATAACTTTACCCTGGCCAAGGTTATTTCTGCTTTTCTTCAGTGGAGGCAAATGTATTTTTTGAATAAATGATATTATGCAAAAAAAAAAAAAAACATTTCTATCAAACCTAAAGTTCTGAAAACAATACAACTGCATTTGCAAATAAAAAAATTAAGTAACATAAACTGAGGCTAAAGTGTTGACTTTCACTAAAAGTGATGTGATTTGTGTGCATGATTTAAAGTATAAGGTAAGACCTGCACAGCCAGAGAGGCTTTAGGCTTTATTGGAAGTGGGCATGTGTTACCTTATTCGTTGATGCTTTTTAAGTAGCTTCACCCTTATAAGTTATATGCGCATAACTATATTTGTCTTTCATGATTTATTGTACCATAACTTTAATCTTTACAAGTTTAAGGAATGTCAGAGTTAATAATGATCAAAAAGTGCGTCTCCATTCAGCATCGGAACTACATTAATCAGAGCAGCTCATTTGGATTAAACTGTCCATTGTCTGACAACTGTCATTGTTCATTTTGCACTGCATGAACATTAACACTCAATAGCCAACTTACTGCATCAGTATAAACTGAGGCCAAAGTGTTAGCAGCTGTGTTTTGGCACTGAGGTGCCTATGGATACTGAAATATGTCCTACATATTAATATTGTTTCAATATTACTTACAATACTTTTGTCTTTGCTCTCTTGTCCTATACATATACTGTGTAGTCCATGGTTATTGCAGTGCAAAATAAACAGGCCATGGACAATCTGAACAAAATTTGATGCACTTTTGTTTTAATCTTGAATGGAGATACATGGCCATACTTCAGATTTTGGCCCTTTGTCAAGTTAAAAAACATCTTGTTAAGTTAGAATAGTTGTGTTACCTGAACAGGTTTTATTCTGTCCCCCTATGCTCACACTGAACTTAAACACAAAACCCCAACTGTTTGGTCCATTAACAGTTCCAAGTTTTAAAACAAGATGCATCCTCAGAAATGAGGAAGGGCAGTTTGATTTTCTGCTTTCATGACAAAACTATAGAGCCACAGATGTATGACAAAATGCAGTGAATTTCAGTTACATTTCTCACAACCCAGTCTGAGTCAAGACTACAGGTAGCCACAAAAGTAAATGCTACTCCAAATACTAGTAAATACTGCACTAGCCATCACAGATTTGCTCAAACTCAAGGCAGCTGACCAAAGTTTCTGCTATGCCAGTAAAATCCATCCAATCCAGCAGCTGCTAAAAATCAAAGGACAACCATTCTAGGTGAAATCAAGTTCAAAAAATAGTGCAGGCAGCTAATCCAGGGTTTAAATTTGGCTTAGTTCACAGTTCATCAACCAACCTAACACATATGTTAAAGATTGTTCAATGTTATGATTTTTTTTTTGTGTGTGTGTGTGCGCACAAATTATCCACAACACCTGCTGGGCTACTTAAAAAAATCTGAATCAATTATTCCTTTTACTGAGGTGACCATGGGTTACGTACAGCAAACAAACAACTATTCTAAGTTCACAGCTACAGACAGATTTGTGTTAAAATGGCATAAAAATGATGAATGAAAGAAAGATTGAAGTGCCTGTCAGCATTAATCAGATGGTATTCACATTGAATTGAGGCCTTACAGCTGTTAAACTGCTACGTGCCATTAATAGATTCTTTGGGCTTTTGTATTAACTATTATACCCACTAGTATACTTCTATAATTCTATAAGAGGGGAAAGTGTATTCATGCTACATGTACAAGGTTCCAGAATTTTGCTGTTGAAATGGTTTTTAATGGACCATTTTTGTAAAAGAAACTGTTTTAAAATTACATCAGTGCAGCAGTTTTCACAATTATCCAGTACAAATCGACTCAGGCTAGATGGATGTTATTACAATTCATTCTGAGGAGGACAAAGACATTTCACTTAAAAGTGCAAATATCCACCTCACTCTGGCATTTAAAATCCGAGGATCACCAAAATCATTAGGATACATCTTCTAGAAAATATGAATGTCTGCAGGTGGCACTAAGTGAAAGTCGTGAGATTGCTGAAGTCATTAAGTTTCATCCTCTGAGCACTGTGATATGCTGTATCAAATTTCATGACAATGAATCCAATAGTTACTGAAATATTCCCCTAAATCCCACAAAATGTTAATGTCATAGTGGCCCTTAAAGTATATCACTACACAATTACAGGAACATAACTGTCTAAAATGTCTCAGCAACTATTTGTATTGCCATCTGCTTACAAAATGGTGGAGTGACAGACTAACCGACAATGCCACCCCTGCCACTGGCATCACTAAAAATGTCATAATTGGGGGTTTACGGGAAAACAAAATGTGATATTGATTGAATCTTATTCTTTTTCTCTAAACACTCTACAGATTCGGCCTCATCCTTCATCAAAATGAACCTGTCCTCCACAAGATCGACCTGGACACGGCATCATATGTGAAAAACATCAGTTTACGAGAGTATAACTGCACCCCCAAGTCTGTAGCCTACACCCATCTTGGCGGCTACTATTTTGTCAACTGCAAGCCTGACTCCACTGGCACCACCCAGCCCCAGGTCATCCTGGACAGTGTGACAGACAGAGTGGTAGGACAAAACCACGATGTCACCGGCACACCCTATGTGTCTCCAGATGGTCATTACTTGGTCACTGTTGATGATGGTGATGGTCTGATGAGAATCCAGACAATATCAGAGCGGGGAGAGATCCAGGAGCCCTTTGACATCCACACCAACCTCCACCTGTCTGATCTGGCCTTCCAGCGCTCCTTCACAGAGGTCCACCAGTACAATGTGTTTGGCAGCTCTGGCCGTCAGACCGACGCTTTGTTTGTCGAGCTGAGCAGCGGCAAAGTCAAGATGATCAAGAGCTTGAAGGAGGCCACCAAGTCATTTGAATGGCCATGGAGCAGTAAGAACAGGGTAATGGTGGGCAGCGGACTCTTCGGACAGTACCTCACAACCCCGTCCCGAGAGTCCCTCTTCATCCTGGATGGACGGCTCAACAAGCTCAACTGTGAGATCACTGATATCCTCAAAGGCAACGTGGTGCTGTGGGTCGGGGATTCTTAGGTCATTAGATCAAGCCCAGGTGAGCTTTGTTTTCCTCAAAAGTACTGTTGTACTAAATTCTGTTACAGATTCTTTGATTTTGCGGGAGCACAAGAGTGAAAACCCACAGATTCAGAAACCAAATTGACCATTTATAAATCCACTGGATGATCAACTGCCATTCTGATTTAAAGAAAAAAAAAAGGGAAAATACAAATGAAAGAGTATACTTAAGAATAACTATCATCTTAAAGCCCAGGTCAAATATTTTTTCCACTGAGAGGTTTTTAAGTCCATACAAAACTTGCTTGCTGGTAACATTTTTCAGGAAAGTTGGTATGAATCAAGAACTACGTGCAACTTTGCATCATGATTCGCAGTCTGTTGTATTCAGTGGAAAAGCTGTAGATAGTCTCAGAACAAAACTAATTAATATTTAGGTCAATTGGCAGAAAATGATTCATTTATATCGTATATGTCCAGATTAACTCTTATAATTTAAGTTGACCCAGTCCCAACTTTCCTGTGCCTTCAAGCAGAATTCCCTTCTATCAGAGGAATCAGCATAATTATTCCCAGTTTGACAGACTACACCTCTTCCTTTGACCCTTCCATTTGTGGTGTGTGTGGTTCCCCACAAATCTACTGCTTGTCTACGCAGCTGACTCAGTCTAATTAAAACGAGCCCTTGCTGTGATCCCATCCTGTTTGAAGTGGAGACTGAGAGACTGAGTGGTTCATTATGGCCGTACGCTCTGTAACCTTCAATCTGAATTTTTAACCAGCATCGGGAGGCTTTCAATGATATTTTATTTTCCTTTATAGTCCAAAGCAGAACAATGAAAGTCGGTGGTAATGTTAGTTTAACTGTACCAGCTTTATACACTATACGTTGTGAAATTTAAGTATTTCCAAATGTTCATTAGGAAGGAGTCAGTAGAGCACTTGCGTGTGAAGAAAATTCTGTCATAACTTCAATATCCCTGGACCAAAAAAAAAAAGCATTGTAGAGTATAATAGAATGAACTGTGAAGAACATGCATTGTCTGATCAGTTTGACAGCATGTTTCTAGTGGGTGTAGTGAAGTAATGATGAGCTAGCACACTGGGGAGTGGGGTAGTTGTGGCTGTATTGTGTAGAGGGTCTTTGAGGACAAGCTTTGACTAGGAGTGACAACTCTTTCTGGATGCTCCTGCACTAGATTCATAGCTGGCTCAATGAAACCGTTTCCTAGCTGGACACATTTCTATGCATTTTCACCCCAGCACTCTTATGACTCTGTGAATCACAATGGCCAACTCTGTGTCAAATGTAGTATGGACTTCTGATGTGTACAGATTATATATAGGCATTCTCTCTCTCCTGATGATTTTAGTCATACTTTGTTTTAATTTAGTTTGATCAGTTTTTCTCCCCTGTCACATGTTGCTTTCCTATCTTTAAACCTGACTTTTCTCTATATATTCTGTACATAGCAGTTGACTGGTTTCTTAGTTTTCCTGTTAAAGTACAGATTTACACAGGTTCTGCTCACTTTCTTGCAATTAATCAGCATATTCCTTTTTAAGAAATGAAAACACAGCTGTCATTATGAACATCCTGTACTTAAGCACATTGTGATCACAAACACTGCTTTCACCTCCATATAGCCATGTCCTGTACATTCCCTTCATGTGACTGTTATTTATATAGAGACAACATGCCTGTCATTTTATCCAACAATAAAAACTATACTACAAAAAACAACATATCGACTCTTGTCCTCATTACAACCAGTTCTTCTGTAGCTGCTGCTAACACAGGCAATCATACACTGACAAGTTTCCTGTAGACACTAAAGCAGCCTGTTGCCAATTATACATCTACAAAAGATGCTAAAAGAACGACGTCAAAACTCTCACTACTTTGGGTGCATCTACTTTGCAACAGAACATATGATATTTAGTAAAAAAAAAAAAAAGGAAAATATACAGTAGCTGTAAGACCTAAATATGTGATAGAAAGAAAATCTGAGTGAATTACCAAGAAAGGAATAACTTGTGTAATCATTTCCAGCAAATCATTTCAATTTTCTTTGAGGAGGAAAGTCTGTGATACTCCGGACATTTTGGAAAATGTGATTGACATGGGTATGATTCAACTTGTGACTGCCTGAAGGCTAAATGCAAAATATCCACCACTGTTGAAGCTACATTTCCCTGTATGATTTTATTTCTAAATTTTAAAGCTGAGCTATATTGACTTTCAGAAACTCAACTGGGAGCTGGGAGCAAATTTTGAAATTTGAGAAAACTGTTAGGCACCATAACAAAGTGAGGAAGTCTACCTTTAAGTGAAGCTAAATTACATTTACTCCCACTGGCCAAAATCACAGTCAGGAACAGTGCAGAGGAAACAACGATGGTTATTGTACAAACAGCTGATTGATTACTACAATTATCCAAGGCACAGCCCACAGTGCTTAGGTCCTTTACTTAAATGGAGAAGAGGAGAAATGTCATACTGTAAAAATACCTACAGTACAACTAATAGTACCTAAGTGTAAATACAAAAAGTATAAAACCCAAAAGTACTCATTGTGTAGGATGGACCCTATCAGATCACTAAATTATTTTTGTTTTACATTAGTGGATTTTAACATTTAAGTGGCATTTTATTGGTGAAAAAATAATTGTAGTGGTGTAAAAGTACACTATGTCCATCTAAAATGTACTAAAGTATAAAGAACAACAAAAAAAAAGTACTCAAGCACAAATACCTCCAACTTGTACTGTACTTGAAGCACAATAGTTAAGTAACTACCCACATGTCTTGGCTAAATTGGAATGAGGGGGGCGGTCTTCCTGTAAATCCTCTGAGTGTATTCTTCTTTTAAAAGTATATAGCTGCAGGTTCTGTCATGTTTTGGATGAAAGGAGCCTCCACACTGCATGTGGCTGTGCACTTATCTGACAGTAGGGGTTGTTCAGATGGAAGAACCTCTCCACATGGGTTTCAAAGATAAGTCTTTTGCAGCGATAATGAAAACCTACTGCATTCAACCCCGTCTATGACAAAGCAGAAAGGGGTCTCTTATTTTCAGCATGTGTGTAGTATTTATTGTATGATTCAGTTATGGTATACAGTATCTGCTTTGGATACACACTGCAGTATACAATATTTGATGCAATGTGTGAAATTGCTCTGTTAGAACCATTGAGAGTAATGGTTCTTTTGTGTGCAGATTTCTTAGACTCTCTGATTAGTCTAATTAAAGTGCTGATCACAATTAGTCAGTCAAGTGATATCTTCAACCTAGATGTTGAGCCTGGAAGTATATTATATAAAAATGGAGAAAAAGCAATAAATGCTCACATCTGAAACAATGTGAGAAGCAGGAATTGCTGGAAATTAGAGCCAGATTAATAAATCATCCAGGGCGTTACTGTCCTCTATTATAGTGCATTTGTGTCAGTATTAGTGTATTTCTCAGATGATAAACAAGACACTGCAGTATAGAAATGAAGATATGCTAATTAAGAAATGTAATTTACAAATTACTTCCTCACTGTGTCCACCTGGACGAGGACTGACGCTGCTTAAAAAATGACATCTAAATTGCTGGTGATTAATTTGATTGATTGGCTAATGGACCAATGATTTCAGCAAATGTAGTAATTAGTATTCTGTTTTATAATAGGCATAATTACAGCCGTAACAATTAATAGGTTACGGAATATTGGCCGTCTTTGTCATATGATGAAATAGTGAAAACAATATATTTGGCATTTAAACTGTTGAGTTGATAAAACTATAGTATTGAAGACATCACAGCCAGTAAAATACTCACAATAAAGAATCTAACCAGAAAACGTTTGGATTTCTTCTTGAAAAGTTACTTCATCACTTACTGTAACTCTTTAAATGTGCTATTTCTTGATGACAGTGTTTTAGCTCTGCTATAGTAAACTGTATAACAATGCAGAAATGTGGTGGTTGATGAAGAAAGAACAAAGCTACAAAAATCATTTACTCAAAGCCACACAATCAAAGTTTTACACATTCCACATATCATGACACGCTGTCAGCACACAGGAGGTCGAGGAGACTAATATACAAAAAATACTAACGAAGACAAACTACAGAAGCGTGATTCATCTACAGCTACAGAAAAAATGTGCGACCCTGCCAGGCTTTGAAAGCACTTTGTTACCGTGGACACGCCTGCAGTTGTGCACCAGGGACCAGCAGAGCTGAAGCTTCAGCGCATCAGTGTGCAGACCATTCTCATGATCACTGTGTGGCCCCCTGCACTCCTGATAAACGCTCCCTAATGCATTCCACCTCCCACCGGTCCCAATTTATATTCACACATGCTGGTGCTTTATATTAATATCCTTCCTTACTGAATCTGCTTTAATCAAACAGCTGTACGAACAGAAACGAGGCCCTGGCAGTTCCTCAGTTATCTATTGACACTCCTTTATCTTTGTGGTCACATGGGAGGGCCTCGGACTCCTCCCCACCACACACTCACCTCCATCAGGAGAATTTAGTACCAGACTCTGCCTCTCTATTACTCCATTCAAAAGGTGAGCAGCATAATCCTACTATACCCTCCTTAATCATGTTGCTGGGGCCTCCCAACGGTACAGCTTCCCTGCTCCATCCATACTGAGGTACCTGATGACTGATTGAGGCCACTGGTGGTGCTGCACCTCGTGCTAGTGGTAGGTTCCCATGCTGCATTCCCCTGCCTGCAGAATAATCAGTGTCCTGTGCAGTGGTGGATGGTAGCTGTTAGAAAATGGATTTTCTCTCAGGGGAAGAACTCATCCCAAACTACAGAATGGACTTGTCACAGCAGTGCCATCAGCTAAATTTATAGAAGCAGCTTTAATTACACTAACAAACACGCACTTTGGATAAATTACAGGATGTATAAATCCTGGTGTTCTGTAGTCTGATTATTTCCATTATTGATTAATCTGTCTCTACATCGTTTGATTAATCAATTAACTGGTCAGTTTAGAAAATGCCAGAAAACAGTAGGAAAGGTTCCCAGAAGTGAAAGAGATGCCTTCAAAGCATTTCTTTTATCTGACCAACAGTCCAAAGTCAGGAGGTGTTCAGATTACAGTAAGATACAACAGAAAAAAAAAACAGTCTTTAGCCAAGTTGGCAACTCTTTTTGGGGGGGGGGGACAC